ATAAAAGATATAATTTACAAAATATATACTGTCTCAAGAAATAGTGCACTGCATATAAATATGAAAAATATAAAAATAAAATATACATACATACAGTGGTGTGGAAGTTTTTGCCTCCCTGTTTTTTTAAAGGGATCATATGATGTTGCTAAAAAGAACATTATTTTGTGTATTTGGTGTAATGAAATGTTTATGCGGTTTAAGGTTCAAAAAACACATTTTTACTGTACCACAAACCACATACTGTACATTATTGTTTCTCCTCTATGCCCTGCCTTTCTGAAACGCGTCGATTTTTACAAAGCTCATCGTTCTGAAAAGCGAGGTGTGCTGTGATTGGCCAGCTATCCAGTGCATTGTGATTGGCCGAATACCTCAAGCGTGTGATGGAAATGTTACGCCCCTCACCATATTGTGATGCCGTGTGCCGGAGCGACGAGACAAAAACATTAAAATCCATTATAAACGAGGCATTTGTTGCATCCAGTGGGGACATAATTACGGATTATAATGACTTATACTGTCTTTTTACGCGTTGTGTTGCATCGCGCCACGTAAACATAAAACCATGTTTGCATTTGTGATTTGTGAGAAATGACAAACAACAAGCGCTACTCTACACTGCTCAAAACTCGCGTTTGAATCATCAGTGGCAAATGTACTTACAGTCTGTGAGTCAGAACAGCCGGCACTGTAGTCTACTCTCCCAGGATCAGGAAACAGTCCTCCATAAAATGTGCTGCACACATCTGAATATTTGGGTTGAACTGTTCTGGAACAGTGTTGTAAATACAACTTACTACAACCACTGATTTCTAGTCCCGTCCTCTTTTGGAAGGCCAAACAAAGTAGTTTTGCTTTCACAACGAAACACACAGCGTCTTCACGACACGGCGGCAGCAACAATACTACAGCGAGAATAAAAGTTACGCCTTCTTTCACATTTGGGCCATTTGGGCAGCCTTATGCAAATCTTCCCACATCGTGACGTAGACATGTGGGGGCGTGTTCGTTTTAGGTGTTTTAGGTAGGCGTGGCTGACTCTTTAACTTTTTTAAAGAATATCTCTTTGGATTTGAGACTTTAGTCTTTGCAACTTTACAGATCTTCTTTATGCACCAAGAGCTTGTAACACTCCAAAGAGAAAGGAAAAATTGAAATCGCATCAAACAAATTTTAATATTACACAAAGATAATGCAAGTAAATACAAAATGCAGTTTATGATTTTTGATTTTATTTATTAAGGGAAAAAAGCTGTCCAAACCTGCCTGGCCCTACATGAAAAAGTCCCTAAATCTTAAATCTAATAACTGGTTGTGCCACGCTTTGCAGCAACAACTGCAATCAAGCGTTTGCGATAACTGGAAATGAGTCTTTCACATCGCTGTGGAGGAATTTTGGCCCACTCTTCTTTGCAGAATTGTTTTAATTCAGCCACATTGGAGGGTTTTCA